CAAAACATGACAGCATACAGGAGAAACATGACATGGCACAGCAAAATATGATACCACATGAAAAACAACAACATATGACAACCAACCAGTGACATGACAACCAACAGCAGACAGAATCGGAGCAATACGAGCCTGAGCAGGAAGAGTCCATCTGCTGCTGCTGTGAGGCCGGAGGGCGAGGCAGCAGATGGACTCTCTGCTGGGCTGCCTACTCCACCTCTCAGCTCCATGCGCCTACATCACCTCTCTCCATCACAGGTTTGCAACGAGAAGCTTGATGTTACACTCACAGACGTAATTGTCCAAAGTTCAGCCTCTACCTTTCACATTTTCCAGCTTCCAGTGCACTTTGTTAAGCCAGCAGAGACAGAGCTGCAGCTTCAGCTGAAACCTGGAACATGAGGCAGTTTCCTCCTGCATCAGCTTTGGAGAACGGGGCTGGTGATTTCTGTTTTTCTTTGAGACTCCAATAACCGAACTCCAAAGGCTAAGAAGAGGGTCTGAAGGAGTCACTGCCCTCTGCTCCGTTTACTCCACTAGCTGCACAGAACAATGTCTGACCATCTGGTCTTCCTCAGTACATGGACATCGGTCCATATAATGATATCACATAATAAAAAGGAAATAACTAATGGTGAGAACAACTACTCTCAAGTCTTCATCTTAAAGCCATCATCATCGTTACGCCTAAACACCTACTGCCCTGAACGAGCCCTCTGCAGCCAGTTTCTCTGAGAGGTCACCTCTGTAGAAATTAAATGAAATCCAGAAGAACACGTCCTCATGTGTGAGGTGGGTCAGCAGAGTCAGCTGAGTCCTGCCAACTCCCTCCAACACTCATCTGTTTCTGCTGAATCCTTAATGAAGCTTTTCAGAGGTCACCTGCTCCGAGGGGCCAAGGGGGTTGTATGGAGGAGGAGCAGTGGGGTGGTGACGGTTCACTGACATGCTTCTTCTTTACAGACTCAGACATGACAAAGATCCTGCTGTGTTTTTGACCCTTCTGTGCCACCGTAGTCTCATTGTCTGCTCCTATCAGCTTCATATATGTCAGGATTTAGAGAACAGTCCTTTATGGAATAACCTGCACATCATCCTTTCACCTGTGTGTCGAGCCAAGGGAATCAGTGAGAACTGAGACAAAGCTCAGTCCTCTGATGAAGATTAACACACCCACTATATTTCAAACTGTGTACCCATTACTGTGGCTGTATATTATATTGTTTAATATCTCAAATACTGTAACAGCACAAACAAAACGTTTTGCAGCACAAACCAGCACAAACGGGTGACACCATTTTGAGACACCGAACCCCAATTTCCTCCCGATGGCCAGAGCAGCGCCACCATCAGTGTGTGTGTGTTGGCGCTGCCCCGGTTCTGTACCAGGGACAAATTCATGGTGTATGTAACACTGTGTGTAATAACAGTGATTAAATGTAATATTTATTATCACCACTGAGTTACATATGGAAATTCATGGGACAGCGAGATGATGCGGTGCACGGTGTCGTGCCGCCCTCACCTGCAGCAGCCATACCACAGACGCACTCTAAATGAAAGTAAACAAACACTTGCTTACTGTGCTATTTACACACTGTGCCATGTGGCCCATAATGAACATCATCTAGCTCTGGTCTTTGAAGAGCCTGGCCTCATCTGTTTCTGTGGCATCCTCGAGCACATCAGTGCCGTCGATGATGCTGCGATGCTCTGGTCCACCTGTGAAGGCTGGGGCACAACTGTCAAGAGTTTTGTTTCTGTTTGGCTTCCACTTTAAAATCAAATGGCTTTTTAAAAAATTTTGGTGCCAGTTCACTGTGTGGACCCAAGAGCTGACCGCTGCTGTTACACTGCCACTCAGTGCGTTTGCTGATGTCTGAGACCTCTGCTGAGACCCTGATCGGCACAGCTTTATGCTGCTCCACGTCCCTGACAAGCTCCTCCCTCTGCCAACTTTGGGTTGACGTATCCTTGCGTCCCTTAGCGTCTGGCAAATGAGCCTCGTAAGCTTTGGTATGTTCATGAGCACAGAGCAGTAAGTGGATGACTGGGACGAGATGGGGAGGCGTGTGACACACACTACCACACTTCACTGGTTCATAAGAATACATACAAAACCTGCATGTCTTTGTCAGAAAGAACAGACTGTGAAAATGTAGTGTCCAAATAATAAATGTTTGTTGGGGGGGGGGCCGAGGGACTGCTCCTTTACTGTACCTCCTGTCTGTCTCTGCACAGTAACCGCTGACCATGTCTGCTGGCCTGGACGACATCGACAACGTGTTCGGTGAGGGTCACACACCATCAATCACAGCAGACACACACACACACACACACACAGCACAAAAGTAAAATAGTCCCTGTCCCTGCCAAACCATAACACAACAACATCCACAACACAATTCAAAACACATCCAGTCGACATACAAACAGCTGCAGGTCTCATACAGATCAGAACTCACACCAACGCAACACAAAGTGTTCAGACCAAACAGACCCAACATCACACACCCCCATTTCCCAGGGGTCTGTTAACGTCTCTCTCAGCCCTCCACCCTGTGGCTCATTACCTCTGTGTCACCAGACTTCAATGTTTCACCACTAAATCCTCCACAGCTGCTTCTCCTCATCCTCCTTTCAGACTCACCTCCCCCGTCTCCCTCAGGAAATAAACTGTGGGGGAGGAGAGAGAGGAAGTCTTTACACTGGGCACAGAGCACATTATGGTCATGTCCAAATACTAATAGCTGATTTTTTTTTTATGGAAGGTGTGTAGGAACAGGGACATCTGTGATGCAACAATTAAAATGGAACAACAATATTTCAAAAACATTATGCAAGTATTTACTATGTTTCTTCAATTTGAGAAACATGACCTTCACTGAAGACTTGGAAAACCTTAGGCTTAACCTCCCCACTGTCGCCACGTGGTGCTCAAAGGGGATGTGTTGGCTTTTTCATCTATAATAATAACAATAATGAGGTCTAGACCTGACTTTGTAAAGTGTCCTGAGATGACTTTTGTTGGGATTTGGTGCTATATAAATAAAACTGAATTCAATTAAGGGGTTTGGCAGAACAAACAGGTGTTTCTATAGATCAGTGTGGATCAATAATCTCAGGGTCAGGGTTCATCTCCCACAATCCTCTGCTGCCTCCAGTGCCCCAACAACAAACAGTATTAAAGTGAAATCCCAGTATGTGGATGTGAACATGCGACTCTCTGGGGTCTGTCTCCAGACCTGAACGAGGCGATCCCTGAGACCGAGCTGCTGGATAACAGCATCCAGAAAGGCCGAGCCCAGCTGTCTGTCAAAGCCCGACGGCACCGCCCCTCCAGGTCCCGTTACCGTGACAGCGTGAGCTCGACGGAGGGCGACCACAGCCTCGACAGGAAGGTACACCTGAGTGTGATGGACACTTTGGTTTCAGGTCGACAGAGGGCTGAGTTAATGAGCGACTGATGGAGATAAACCTGTGTTGAATGAACGTGTGTGAAACTATCTAAACCTTACCTTCTATGAATGTTTTCACCACTGACTGTTACAGGACAGTCCGTCACACTCCACACGCTCACCTCTACACCTGAGCATGAGAGGCTCCTCCCCCTCTCCTGAGTCACTGCTGTCAGCTCGAAGCCCTGCCTTCTCCTTCGACACATCACTGGTGAGACCAATCAGAGCACAGGACAGGTGTTGGAGTCACATCTATGAATTCAGAGAGAAAACGAAGGGAGAAATGAAAAAAAATCTGTCTGACTTTGCCGCCTCAGGTGCGTCGCTCTCCAGAAGACGGAGGTGCATCACTGGATTCTCCCCCACGGGGGCGGTACCGCCAGCTGACCAATGCCACATCTCAGGAGGCTCTGGTGACGCCAAGCAGCTCACCCTCCAAGTCCTGCCCCTCCTCCGACTGCTCACCTGTCTACATGAGGAGGAGCAGGAGGCCCGATAGCGAAGGTACACACTTGTAAACTCAGCTGCACCTGGTAATATACCTGGAGACACACAGACACACACCTGCACACACCTATGTGAGGAGGAACAGAAGGCTGGAGAGTATGGTCTGCACACCTGTACACATGACGACACACCTGTTCCTGAGTGCAGGATGTGTCAGTAGTGACTCAGTAGACTCTTCCTTCACAGTGCCACTCAGACCATGAACAGTGTGATCAGGAACCATGAACAGATAAATAGTTTACTGATATTATTGATTAGTACAGGTATTTGTGTGTGTGTGTGTGTGTCTCAGTGCTGGTATCTGATAGGAGTCAGGACACCAGTCCAGCTGATCCTGGGAGTCCGAACGTCATCTTTGACAAGAAAACCAAGAGGCGCTTCCTGGACCTAGGGTGAGAGACACACTAATCTTACTATAGCTATGAGGACCCTCACTGACATAACCCGGCCACAACCCTGACCTAAGCCTGGTTCTAGCCTGAACCCTAAAACCAGGTGTGAACCCTCAAGCAGCCCTGTGTAGGTGTGAGGACCAGACAACATGTCTTTGATATCAAACTAAAATGTGCCCACATGAGCACACACCCATCTCCTCCCTGTGCACCACAGCTACTGTATATGTTTAAGGTTTCCGACATGCTTCTCAGTCTCCATGTGTATCGTCCTATATCTCTGCTCTCTGCAACAGACTCGAGCTCTTTGCATGTGCCAACATACCAGGAACCGATTCAGCCCAATGACTGGCTGATCATTCACTGAACACCTACACTGTACAGTGATCGATCCGAACAAGATTCAAGTGCGTCTGTGGCCACACATACAGAACAAAGCATGTGCACATTCCTGTGGTTCTTTCCCAGGTTAAAACAGACACGCATTCACAATCAAACAGGAGCCGTTAAAAGGAGGAGCAGCATCCTGGAACAAAAACAGTTTAGAGTCAAAAGTTCACAGAGTTTTTGAACGCATCAAAGTATCTGTTTGAATATTTACATAGCGACTAAGGAACATTCTGTGTAGTCCTTTAACTAGTTCTGTTGTCAGTAACGCTGTCCCTGTCTGTCTCAGGGTGACCCTCAGGCGTTCGTATATCAGAGTGAGGAAGGACAAGTCCAACAGGCTCTCAGTGGGCAGCAGGTGGGTCCATCACATACAAAACTTCCATTCAAAAAGTTCAACATTTGAGACCTGATGATATTTTTCTCTGTCCTCAGAGAGCCATCTGAGAGTCCGTCTCGGGCCTCTGGATCCTTCGTCCCGTTCTCCTGGTTCACTGAAGGGCGGGGGTCAGTCTCCTCCTCCGGGACCCCCCCCTGCTCGCCTAAAATCCCCCCACTGGGCTCTCCAAGACCCCGCAAGTCCCACTCCCAGGTACAGAACCATCTCATCCTCCTTGTTCTCCCTGTGGCCTTGATAAGTCCACGTCTCACTCCCCACTTCAGAAAGTTTGCATTCATTAGTAAAAAATCTTCATTAGTCTGGATACGATTTTTATTTCTTTGCACAACAGGGATGTTATTTGTAAGAGTTCTGATTTTGTTCCCACAAGTTTTTGTCTTGCTCACACAGGTTTTTATATTGTCTGACAGTTATGTCTTCTTATGTTAGCTAGTTCTGTCTTGTTCCAGACAGGTATGATCCTGTTTACACAGCATATCGTCATGTTCCCACAAGTTAATATTTTCTTTTCACAACTTGCCGTGTTTCCTCAGTGTATTATTTAGTTTACACAAGGTAAACCCTGGGCAGAAAGAGCACACAGGATTAAAACAAGCATAAATCAGGCCGGAGAACTCCTTCGCTCTGACAGAGACAGCTCCAGTTGGGAAATACTGACATTAACAGACCCCAGCCAGCCAATCAGAGAGCAGGATCTTCTTCTGCCAAAGTGAATTACATCTCAATCTGTGTATCAGTTTGCAGCGTGTGCTTCCGTGAATTGATTTTTCTGATTTACTCATTGCCCACACATCCGGCCTGCTAGCTTTCAGCATAACCACAACGCACGCACGCAAACACACACACACACTTCCTACAGGCTGTGATGGCAAAACATTTATCACCAACCACAAAACAAACCACAGCTATGTGTGTGTGTGTGTGTGTGTGTGTGTACACATCTTTCTGTGCTCATGTGGCCACATTTTAGTTTGATACCAAAGACACGTTGTCTGGTCCTCACACCTACAAAGGGCTGCTTGAGGGTTCAGGTCAGAACCAGGTTTAGGTCAGGGTTGTGGCCGGGTTATGTCAGTGAGGGTCCTCATAGCTACAGAAAGACCAACAACAGGTTGTGTTCTTCTGCCCATTTTCTCTGTGGTTTAAGACTCTGTCTCTTCCCCTTTAAAGCTCAGAGCAAAGAGCTCCATTACACGTCCATCTGAGTGCTGCCTAATGGACCTGGCAGGGTTTGTACAGAGTGTGTTAGTGAAGCACTAATGCGCTCACTGTGTGGACACCAGGACCTGGGCCATCCCTCATTTCTGAAGCTAATGTCAATATTCACTATTGTATAAGAATATATCTGCGTATTGTTTGTTTCTTCCACATTTGCCCACATTTCCACTCCGACCCTGGGCCGATCTCCCTCCTCCCTCTGAGCCACAGAGCTCCAGGGTCCAGACACCATCACACCCGCCAGTGACCACACCGCTGCACTGGCTGCCATGTTCCTTCGTCACCATGAACACACACACTGGAGTTTATTCTGACTCAGCTCCACATACACCGTCCTGCTGCCACACAATACTCGCTGATAATACTCTGATATTCTACTGATAACAGTCCTCCTAAAAATACACAGTTTCCTACTGTATGTCTAATAAAAACTAGAATGAGCTGCTGCTTCAGGAAATTATTAAGACTTTTAATAATGACACTGAAAAACTTGTGTGTTTTTAAAGATTTACATCTGCAGTAGGAACCAATGAGCTACAGACAGGAAGTCAAAGAGGCAGACTCGCACACTGTTTCTTTGGCTCTGTACATTGTTGGTAACTAAACAAATGAACAACTGACTTATACTGTAACAAAGACTCGTAACATCAACCCACATTTCTGACAGAATCCGGTGGCAGATCTGTGGTGTTTGGGACATTTTAAAAGTCAACTTGTCAGAGAAGGAACAGAACAGATCAATGCAATAGTTCAAAACGATTTATTAATCTGTACCTTGTCTCTCTTGCTCTCTCTTCATCCTGCAGGAGTCGGGTCTCAGCGAGGAGTTCTCTCCTCCTCACACCTCCTCCTCCACCTCTCCTCCTGTGGAGTCCTCCTCCTCCTCCAGATCCGCCCATCCGTACCACACCCTGTCCCAGTCCTCGGACGAGGTAACGCACACGCCTCCAACCGAAAACACTTTTTGCCTGCTGAGAGGAGGAAAGTAAGGAGAACAAAGGAAACAACCCAAAGTCAAAACATGAGAGTATAAAGAAAGAACATGAGAACAGTGGTAAAATAATGACGTTACATTCAGACAGCAGGACACTAAACCCAGGTGAGTACAGTACTGAGGAGGATGACGCTCCTCTTCCTCTCTCCTCTTCAGCCCTGTGACGAACCGGCCTGTGTGGTTTCCTCGTGGACGACTCACCAGGTTTGTCAATGGCTCCAAGGACTCAACATGGAGCAGTACGTCCCAGAATTCACTGCGAGAGGCATTGACGGTGAGCAGCTGCTGCAGATGGACGGCAGCAAGCTGAAGGTGAGGCAGGTTCAGGGTTAGCTGCCCCCCTCAGTCTCTGTCAGGAAGTCGGTACCTGAAAAGTGTAGAAACAGTGTCCTGAACCAGGTGTCAGCATTTCCCCAAATACAACACTGATGTACTTGTACTTTCATTTCCATTTTCTGCTTCTTTACAGTTCTGCTGCACTAGTCCTCAGAGAGAAACTGTCCTTTCTACTGCACCACAGTAAATTTATCTGACAGCTACAGTCACTTTGCAGGTGTCACTTATAAAAATATGATGCACTGTTACAAATGTACCAACCCACAGTATAAATAGAGCAGTACAAATCAGAGAAAGCTTCTCTCCTCTGGTCTAGACCCTCCTCACTGATCCTTAAAACTAATTAAAACAGCAAAATGTGCAAAAACAATAATGAAGCAGAGTTTGTAGCTGCAGCCTTACAGGTGCAGTTCATGTTCAACAGGAGACCTTGTTCGTCTCATTGCAGGGTCTGGGCGTGCTCAGTTCGTCTGATCGCAGCGCTCTGAAGCGCCGCATTAAAGATATCCAAAGTGCAGCAGAGAAGGAGAGAAAAGCTCTGGACAAACTGGAGAAACAGAAGGAAAAACAGCGAAGGAAAGACCAGGAGCAGCGCAGGAGCTGAAGCCGACCACCACCACCAGGGGGAGACAGTGGACGACCTGCGAGAGGAAGACAGACAGGAAGAGAAGGATGGAGGGAGCGAGGGATGCTGATGACTGCTTCAGGACCATTTAGAGTCTGGACCAGAAAGAGAAAGGCATAGAGATCTGTAGGGGTGAAAGGTCGACACAACAAACAATCTCTGTGTTTCCATACATCCTGGAAAACCTGGAAACATCTGATACAGTTTTCCAGACATGGAAACGTCCTGGAAATAAGAACAAGACATACTAGAAATAGTTTGATGAGGCCAGAAGAACAAAATTAATCCCGTGTCTCACGTGGCTGCAGTGAATCCCGATGTGAAGGAAAATGTTATGAAATGCAAAATAAAAGTCCAAGTTATGAACAGTTTTCTTTCATCATATTCCAGGCTCCGTCTCTAAATTCTGTTTAAGGACAAATCCTGTAGTGCAACAAATTACAAACGTTTTCTTTCACTCCTTCTTCTGAGCACATTTCTCCTCACATTCCTGTTTCTAAGTGGGTTTGTGTCGTCATTTGTGTTCGTTTCATCAACAAAAAGTATCACAAGTCCACAGACTTCATTTTAACCATTTCTTTTTTCAAGGCTCTCAGATTCAGATAGGAACTTAAACTTCCTCATTTTTAAACTATATAATAAATGTCAACCAATTTAGGAATTGCTATTTAACTGCTTAAATTCAGACACCCAAATTCTAAATGAAAACTTTAAACTCAAACAATCTGGGCTACAAATAACAATTCAATTACACTGAACTGAATCGATCAGCTTTTAATTTTCTGTCTGAATCTGCAAAAACACAAATTTCACAGGTTTACAACCAAAATGTTCCTGATCTGCATCTGAAGTTTACACACACACTTTTCCTTTAACTAAGGTGCTTATTCTGTTGACAACTCAGGATTTGTGCTGTGTGTAGGTCACATCAGCCCAGACTCTCTCGGAAGTCAAAGGTGTCAGGATCTTTACTGCTCAGCCAGTTTTTTACACATCAGCACAAAACATCAATGGCCAAACATTAAACTCTACATACATATTAACATGTAGAGTCCTCATGAGCAGCCATGTTAGTACAGGGGAGCCTCCTAATGCATGTGCAGTGTATGAAGGCAGGAGGTCTAACCACAGCGCCGCCATCGGTGTGTGTGTGTGTGTGTGTGTGTGTGTGTGTGTGTGTGTGTGTGTGTGTGTGACTGCGTCGGTTCTGTACCGGAGACAAATTCCTTGTGTGTATAACGTACTTGGCCAATAAAAGTGATTATCATTATAATCAGAGTGACTTTCCAGCTGTTTGGTTTGTTACAGATGTGTTTATGATGCAGGAGACTGGGTGACATCAAAATGTGGCCTTTCGGACCAGAACACCTTTTGAAGGTAGTGAGAGTGACATTTCTATAAACTATTAAGATGAACTCATCCTGTGTTATTAGTTCCTAAGTTTATTCTTTTGTCTTACTGTAGTGAGATTGTAAATAAACTAATACAGACTTGGGTCATAAACACGAGTCATTACAAAAACATTTAAAAGATTATTTTGTTTCTTTGAGGGTTCACATTTGTTTTTACCAAAACTTTTCTGATGCAACCCAACACCCTGGGTAGCGTCTCAGGCTGAGCAGAGACCAGAATGAGCTGCCACCGACATTTACACATTTAAAGTGGGGTTATCATTACCTGTTAACACTGGCCATTTAAATAAGTAGCCCCAGACCAGACCAAAACACATTAACGCATTAATTCAGAATTTACTATAACATTTTATAACTCAAAGTCCTATTAACTGACTTTTCATAGCAGTTGACCACACTGTACTGTCTGGCAACTTAAGAAATTTATTTTGAAAATCTGATACGCTTGAAGGCATTCATGTGAGCTCACTTTACAATGGCTTTTATTATGAAAATACAGCTTACTTTACAGTGTCCCTGTAACTTCCTGGCACCAACTGCAGGATTTTATTTTAGCACCTTTTCCACCGCCTGGTACTGACTCAACTCAACTCCACTTATTTGTGTTTCCATCAGTCAGATGTTACGGACAGTACCTGATGCCTGGTACTTCTTTTGGTATCACCTCCATCGAGGTTCCAAGCGAGCAGAGGCAATACCAAACGGAGACATGTAAACACTGTAGGCTAGTGACTGGTCAGAGAAATCCTGTCATCAATGTGTGAGACATCTCGGAGCAAAGAAAGCGCCATTTTTTAAAAGCGTTATTTAATGCTGACTGCTACTTTACCTTACTAACTAAAAACAGCCACACAGGGAGAATCAAGAGCAGCAGACCTTCAATGTCCTCTGTTGTTACTGTGTCTGTTGCTGACGACATCAACAGCAGTGTAATGCAGTGTCACTATGACAACCAGCTACACTGAGAGGGGACCATCTGCAGTGGAAAGCCAAGCACCCGGTACCGAGTGTCAAGTTGAGTCGAGTCCAGCCTGTACCAGGCGGGGGAAAAGGGCCTTTTGAAACACACCCTGACTGTTGAGCTCTTATATAAACAAACACCTCACTGTATTAAGTACTAAACAAAGAGTGGGGCCTAACATATACAACATAATGAAAGCTGCAGGCCCGTGTGCGGTCAAATACATAGGCTGTTTTATTTCAGTTTTCAACTTTTTATTTGGATTCGAAAACACTCAAGTTGCTCTAAGATATAAAGTGTGTTAACTTTATGTTTTTGTCAGATAAACTGGTGATGATCTTTGTTATTGTGTGCTTACAAAGGCAAGGCAGCTTTTACTGATCAGTAAGAGACAATAACATTTCAGCAGAAACCATGTGAAGTATAAAATCTCCTGTGGAACCAAAAGTGTTGTTAGTGCTGGGGTTTCATGTTGGTGAATTATGGTTAGTGAACACCACCTTTAAAACATATGTAATACATAGAAACTCAAAAACACACTTTCAGATATTTTTTAAATCGCACATGCTCAACAGTACAATACATATTTCAACAACATACTTAAGACAGAAGCACCAAACTGGCCCACACCGCACATTATGCCAGCAGACACAGCACAGTTAGTTCACATTAAACGTTAGCATCAGCATCAACTTGGATCATACTCTTCCCCGTGATGCTAAAGTTGAAATGCTACTGTTTGCTAACTACAAGGTCGTTTGAAGAGACTAACATCAAGATCTCACTACCCAGTGACTTTCGGAGTTTAATTCACTCAGAGTGGATTTTACATAGAAGGTTTAGTTGCCTTCTCTTGAAAATGAGATGCACTTCATGTTTGGGTAAGCTAACCTGGCTCGGAGACTTGCACGTCCCTAGACGTGAGGCTGAACCTTTCGCGGTCATCCGCGGCGGTACCTGATTGACAACCCGTCTTCATTAGGGAACCCGCGTTCCCGGTCACCGTGTAGCCCATATGAGCCTACGTCCACCGTCGACTCCAAGGTTACAGGCGACTGCTTCACTTATCCGTTGATTACACTAACTAACTGTAGAAACTGTTGCTAGCCGGTGCTACTAAGCTAGTAGTCTGTAGCTGTTGCTTTCGTCTCGTCCGCTAGCCTAGCCGCTAACACCTGCAGGTTTTCAGCAAAGCTACGCACCAGCGCGCGCACACCCACACAAGCGAAATGTTATCCAAAATAACCGAAATAAGTTGAGGGATAGATCTGTTAGCGGCATAACGTAGTGAAACTACGTTTTCATGTTTAGTCGAACTTTCTCCACTTCTCTCATTTACTTTCTCACATACAACCAATCACAGCACAGGTATCTCTGTAACTGACTGACCAATAAGACGAACCCTCTTAAAACTAATGGCGCAAATCGGTATTTCTATTTACATTTAAATTTATCAAAATAGTAAACTAGAATAAAACACGTACAGTTCAATTGTTATTGTAAAATAAGATCACCTGTGGTATATTAGTAGCTGCTTGGTTTTGACGGTACTTTCAGTGAAACATCTACAAGCAGCACTAGGTTTGTTTTCTGAACCCTGCTGCAATGTGGCGCCAGCAGACGCAGCTCCCGCCTCTCTCCATCTGGGAGATGGAGTTTCTACAAGTGGTTGCTTTTATAAGCTGCTGCTCTGCCACGAACAAACTCAGTTTCTAAATGAGTTTAAACCCAGAAACTGTGAAAACCATTTTTATTAGCATAAAAAAGTACATGTGTGCATCCTGTTGAAGTTTTAAAAATCACAAGTATAAAATATAGTGATCATCCAGAAAAAACAAAACTCATCCAAGAGGCTTCATCAGTTCTGATGCATGACCTAGAAATCTAGTCCAGTTGTTTTTTTTTTCCTGTTTCTTTTCAACCTCATTTATTATTATTTTATATCAATATCGTTTTGGCGATATTTGTTGTTCTCAATTTCTGATATTTCATTTTTTATAATTTATACTTTTGTTTTCCATTATTGTTTGGATCTATATTATTGTTAAGTGACCTTGGGCACTTTGAAATAAAATGAATTCATTATTATTAATTACTTCTCTGTGATTAGGAAAACATGTTGAAGTGAACAAGTCTATAAAATCAGTTCCTCATAAATAAAAAGTTTATAAATCTGTTCACCCACAGGGTTTACTTTCAGTTTCACATCAGTGACTCAAAGTGTTTGACACGTTTGTCCTGATGAATAAAATCAACAACTTCATGTTCAAACACAGACAATCTGGCATGAAGCAACAGCTGGTGAAGAGGTCTCTGGCCTGTCTGGTCACTTTAACATAAACACATCAGGCCTGAATCTGATCCAGCGAAAATACAAAAAAGAAAAGCATTCACAACAAAATACACAAAAATTTCAGACAGTAAACCAATAAATATATTTCCATAAATACTGAATAAATATCTAATAAATAAGACAGTATAAATAACCTGCAGCTCAGAGCAGATCCAGTCCAAAACAGCCTCTGTGATGAACACATTATTTCCAGTGGCTGCTTCACAGTAACAGCCTCCACAGCAGAAAGTGAATTAGCTGTAACTGCAGTTAAAGTATCAATATGGCTGTAGAACTACATTTGACTGTGATAGAGCTCCAGTTAAAAAACATTTTCATTACTGGTTTGTCTATTGATTATTTTCTCCTTGATAAAAATCAGTTTTGTTTAAAAAGTTTCAGAAAACAGTGAAAATGTTTTCATCCAAAACTGGATTTTTTTTCTTAAAACTGTCTTTAACAATTCATTCATTCATTATCAGAATTGCTGCCAGTTTCCTATTTGATTAACAAATAGTTAATCAACGTGAAACATCTTTTTTGTCTTGTGTTGTGTCTGTGGTTTCTGTTTGACTGCTCTGTTTCTGACAAAACCCATTTAAATTCTAAAAGAGATTTTTCTAATGCAATAAAGTAGATGTTTGACTGGGAGGCAAACAATGACTAGATGCCTCAGGGCGGACTCTGAAGCAAAGGTCAGCTCATTGCCTCCTGTTCTGTTCAGAAAATGTCTGTTTTCCTTCACCGACCCACAGCTTCAGGACTTTCACTGCAGTGACAGTGTCCAAAGATGCAGAATTTGACAGAGAACCCACGACGTCCTGCAGAGAGAGAACAGCAGCAGCAGGTTTCAGTCCTGAGCAGGTTCAGACCTGCAGTCTGCTCCAGCTCGCAGTCGTCTCTTCATTCCCGAAGGTCATTAAAGACATTCTTTCTCCAGCTTTGTTCACATTCTTGCTGCTTGTTTTCGAAAAGAATCAAGGAGAAGCTCTGATCCCCGACTAATATACTGGGTCGACATGCTGCAACACAAAGCACCCTGGGAAAGTTTTTGGATCGCTGTAGCCAATCAGATCTGATGACTGATTCAGAGAAACGTTTCACATCCGGAGTCTCAGACATTGAGGGAATACCCGTCACAATAAAACATCCAGTTCAGAGACGTGGAAGTTGCAGGGCTTTAAAACTGATCGCAGGCGTCCATGCCACTGATATACACAAACGTCTGAGGGCAAAAAGAGATGTTTCTGAGATGTGATGTTCTTTGACTGTCAGGACGATCACTAAAGATTCTCCCATGAGGCAGTGCAGCAGGTAGACACAGGTGATTGTCTCTGTCATAACTCCGGGTCACCGATTCCTGCAGGAGCTCATAACCTTAAATGTGCAACTTTCACTCTATCCAATTCAGTGTGATTTTTGTCCTTGAACGCAGTTGCCTCTAGTGGGCGGGGCTTAACGTGTACCTGCAGCTTAGGGCCTGTAGGTGGCGATGGTTCTCAGGCTGCGGATCAGGTCGTGGCAGAAGGACCGCAGCTGTGACACTGTCAGGTGGACTGCCACCTGGACCTCGTAGTTGCCAGGGAGACGAGAAGCCAGGTCCAAACGACTGTTCTGATCCAGACTGTCACCGCCTTCGAGCTGAGCAGCCTCCTTCATCTAAAATACACAGAAACAAGCACTGACAGCAGCCTCTCACAGCTCAGTGAATGAAACAGCACAAACTCTGCTGTTTTCTAGTTTCAACTGAACCCTGCTGCAATATTTTGGCAGCAGAGACACAGTTCACAATGAGGTGCGTGTGTTACCTTGCTTATGCGTAACAGCAGGTCTCGGAGGTCGACTTTCAGGTCATCCAGTCCATCGACTTTGTCAGACAATACCCCCAGCAGCCCCTGGTACAGCCGGGTGCCCGCTAACATACGACTCACACATATGTCCTGCAGGGAGCAACACACAAACATCACATCATATGATGCTATTTTACCTGACACTAAAGTTACGTTCATAGGTCCTGCAGGTTCATAGGCGAAACAGAGCTGAGTTCTGATCCACAATAAGGTCTGTGCCGACATGTCAGACTGAGACTGTGCAACTTTGTAAATACATTTTTCTGCGATTTATTCACTGATACCTTTATTCTCTGAGCACCCACCAATTCTGCAGGACTCGGAGGACATCCTCATGCAGCCCTAGTACCTCTTCAAGGACTGAATAAACATGCCTAGTTAGCCCAAAAACCACCTCAGGGACATCTAAACATCATTAAGAAACTCCAAATCCAGCTAAAGGACCTAAAAATACCCCAGGCACCTCAATGACTCTTGAGTACCTCCTCAACACCCTTTGTCACTCCCTGAACCACTTTAAGGATGCAAAGAACAGGCAGGCATACTTCAACCCCTCTGTGGAACCTGTAGCCTCCTCAAGGCCCAAATAAACCCCTGGATTTCTCAAAAATCAAGATGACTCTCTGGCCTGGTGCCACATATCTCGGGGGGCCCAGGGACCACACTTTTAGACTCAGGAACTTAAAGGCTGTGGATCAGGGGTAGAGGGGGCTGACCTCTGATGGCCAGGTTGGTGGTTTGATTCCTAGTCTCCTCAGTCCACATGACAAAGTGTTCTTAGGAAAAACACTGAGCCCCAAGTTGCTCCCGGTGTGACTGTGGGCGTGTGTGTGTGAATCTGTAACGCGCTTGGTCCAGGTAAGGTACAAAAGCACTAAATAAGTGCAGTCCATTTACAAAAACCAAGAACCACATCAAGGACACAAATAACCTCAGAACCACCCTCAGGACCCCTCAACACACTCTAAAAACCACTTCAAGAACTAAATGAACCCACATATCAACCTCTAGACCCACCCCACTCACCAGTGTGAAGCGCTCAGACAGTGGTTTGATGACGGGGGCGGCAGGGATGCCCAGTGACATCGCCATCATCTCCAGGTTTATGGTCTGACTGGGGGGGTTGAGGGTCAAACCCTGAGGAGGACAGAAAGAGGTCATTAGCACAGAAGAAGAAAAAGGGCCAATAGGAGTCATAGGAACCGGCCAATCCAGTGTGTTGTTTACCTCGATGGTGACCGCAGCGGCGTGCACGGTGGGGAGGTCTTTCAGGATTTTCTCCACCAGCATCTTGGTTTGCTCGACCGCCTCTCTGAACATCAGGGACAGGTTGGTCGGTGAGCTGATGGAAGCTGATTGGACCAAAACTGCGAACAGGAAGTAGTGCAGCAGAGCGAAGACTGGGTGGAGGGAAACAATTAATTATTTAGTATTCAGTGTATGAAGGGTCAAAACTGCTAAAAATTATTTAATATGAAGTGTGAGAAAATAAAAAGAGGCACAGCTGTCAGGGTGTCTCAGTAAACACTTTTTAGCTGTAACTAATCCAAAGCACAAAAACTGAGGGTTCACACACTCACATCAGTGCAATGCTTCGTTTTATTTAGTTCAAGCCGTCACATCAGCATGTTAATAAAGGCATTACTCACTAGACTTATCAAATCAGTAAATGAACTTGATGGTGGAACTAATGATGCCAAGCTTCACAAGTTTCAAGTTAAATTTTTTTTTACGGAAATAGCCTAAAGGAAAATTGAAAGCCATGAATATATGCAATAAAAAATAATTTATGTAAAAGATTGTTTCACATGCATCTTCAGTAACAAGAACATGTGACAGGGTGTTTGGCACAACCAAAATAAGAGTCTGCAGCCAGCTCACAACTACATGATTGACAGTGACACTTCCAGCTAAATGCTGCTTAGCAGGTAAAATGTTTACCATTTTAATTGAGCATGCTAGCACTGGCTAACTAGCAGGAACATGAAGTCCAGCTGAGGCTGATGGGAATCTCATTGGCTGTGCAGGTATTCAGTCATAAATCAAAGCACTGGACACAGTACAATGTTGACCTGATGAAGGTGCTAGAAGGAAGGGATCAGCAGTGATTACAGCTCAGTGAGGGGAACATGAACATCTGAGCCACAGTGTATCCAACAGTCGTTGAGACCGGGGCACAGTTTCGCATATAGGCAGTAGGGACATGTCCCTACCAGCATTTTGGAAGGACAGAAACGTCAGAATCAGTTTTCTCGGCCAGGTGTGTTTTTGACTCTGGTACAGTGGCTCTATGTCTGTATGTACAATGTTGTTCCACAAAGCAGCCAGTAAACAAGTAAACAAGACTGAGAGAACAAGAAAAAGGAATGTGCATTAGGAAAATGAAAATAGAGTACTTATAAATATACATACATACATACAGTTTTGTCAGATAACAATATACAAAGGTGTATTTACACCAATATTTGAGCAAACCCATGCGAATTACCTTTGGACTGAAGTCATAATATATCACTACAATGAGCCTGACCTACCGAAAGTGAGGGGGCCACCTAAAGCTCACGTTATGTGCAAATGTCAGTGGCCATCTGCTGGTTCTACGGCAGCACTTAGTTAGGAGAAATATGTTTTTTCATAATTTGGGGCAATTTTTATTGGGAAAAATCTTACTTCACTCATATACTGCAGTGTCACCGAAATCACGTCACACATTAATGGTCATCTGCTGATTGTACTACAACACTGAGTTTGGAAAAATGTGCCTTTGTATAATTTTGGTGAATTTTTATTGGGAAAACGGGCCATTCAGTAACATCACTCTTAGACAGTAGTGTCACCAAAATCACTCATCGCTCAGCTAGAAGCAGGTGCAGCTTCAGTGTGTGACTGATGTGGGGTTGTGTGTCCCTGCCAGTGCTGAGACCAAACCTACGCCCTCCTGTCTCTAGAGCGGCCCTGCTCCTGTTGCTAAACTTTACAAAGTAATCGTCTAAATGGTTCCCAGTTATTCATCGGTCAACTGACTGATCATTACATTACCTAATTATTTCAGCTCTAGTTTGAAGTGTACTAGATGCAAGCCAGAGTCTGAGTCTGTCTTGAAGTTTTACAACCCTCCATACTCAGTCGTGGCTGGCACTTCTAACCCATCATATCTTTGGGTCTCAGATGAGTCCAGGCTGGGAAAGGCGTGCAGGGCTTCTCCCGCACTGACACAGATTCAACGTGACAGAACTCAGTAAAAGTTCGGCTGTCGTCTCAGGTGTGTTTACTCCCCCAAGCTCCGTGCATTGTTCTGCTGATTTTACTCGCCTCGCTGCAGCAAACCCAGAGCAGTGTTACAGAGAGTCAAGCGTGTGGTCTTACCTCGCAGAGGGTTCATGTCTGTCAGGGCGGCTGTCTGTCTGTCGGTGTCTGTCCGCCGTTAATCGGGCTCAAACTTCCTTCAGCTTCCATTTGCAGCCGTTTGGACTTTTTATCCGCACCGTGGGGGTTTCCGCTGACGGGGGACCGACTGCATGGCCACCTCATGTCCCAATCATTGCGATAAACCCCGAAGTGACGAAGCTTGTGAAAACTTATTGCGTCACTCCGTAAGAGAGGACCAGAACAGGCAGAGACCTGCAGGACCTCACCTGGCTCAGTAAAACACGTGACTTCACACCTTTGCCTGAAATAAAAAGCTTAACTCAGACACTTCGGGGTTTACGTGCGGATTAAAGGTTAAGACGCGATGACAACTGCCGCCAAAGGTTGCTTCTGCATCGAATGGTTCTTACAGCTAAAAAAGAGCTTCTGACAACGACCGGGTCGGGTTAAAACCAGTTCAGCCCCAAGTTCCCAGTGAAACCAGTACAACACTGTGCTCGTCTGTGCTAATCTCATCATAATTATTAGGCAGCGCTGGAAGAAGTATTTAGAATTACTGTAGTAAAAGTAGCAGTAGTGTGTTAAAATGCAACTTTAATAACTTAAAGTATCAAAGTCAAAGTAGAAACGATGGCCCCAGTATTAGACTGTTAGAAAGAGATTATTAAACCTCAGTCATCCTGTTTCAGCACTATTTTACAGGTGGAGCTGGAACTTTATTTTTACCGCATGTCTGTAACAAACCTATAAATCGAATACAACTTTATGTCCAATTTTAATCTGCAAAGCAACTGCTTGTCAGATAAATGTAGTGCAATATTTACCTCTGAAATGTGGTGGAGACGGTATAAACACCTCCAACTTGTACCAAAGTACAGTACTTGACTAAATGTATTAGTTACTTACTGTTCTTTTTAATGAAAATGCGCCATGTGAGCGCAATAAGATGTTTTTCACTCTAGGTTCTGATGAACATTCAAAGGTCACTTACAATAAAAACCACCTGTTTAGTTGTTTGATGATCCAGCTGTGTCCATGTCAGAGATGCGCAAAACCCGATTTTTGTAAAACATGACGAAATATTCAGAGCCATCAATAACCCAGCAGGACGAGGTGGAAACATTTTTTGGACATTGCTGTACATTTATCAAAAATTGAAAACTTAAATCTGTCATTTACAAAAGTACTCAGACATTAAATTGAGTGTCTGACTTAAATGAAGTGTCATTAAACCTCTTGTTTTGTCAACACAGCATCATCAGGATTTGAATTCAAACTGGAAAATAATGTCAAATTAACACATAACACATCCATTAACTTTTGCTCAGGAGACTTGGTTTTTAATGATTATTGGTTATTTTACAAATCAAGTTATAAGATCAATAATAAACTGTAAACCGAATGATTATTGCAGTTGATCTTTTATCAGTATTTTTCTCTGCCAGCGCTATGTAAAGTCTATTTTATACAACGGGCTCCACCTTTACCTGATACTGGACCAGTCATTATGATCCGATGCTTTACACCTTGTTTGGATGTTAAAACCTTTACTTAAACAACCTGAGCATTCTTCCACCGCTTTTTATTTTAGAATGGAATTTAAGTCTGATGAACCTCAGCCTTTTTCTGAACAGTATTTTTATTTCCCTGTGTTGTGTTGGTGACACGGGGGCGTGATAGTAATTATCTTCTTTTCATTGTTTGATTTCCCAGTGAAGTCTGACAGGGAATTACAGCCTTTTGTCTTTAATTAAAGTTTCCCATGTTGTAAAATCATATTTCCTGCGCGCAGTGTGAAGTGTCACCGCGTCCCTTGTGTTGACTTGAAGGCGGATGTGGGTGGGTGTGTGGTTTGTTATTCACGCTCTGCTCCTCCAGTGTGTCGTCATTCCAAAGTCTTTGCTCGCTTAAGAAATTCTGGAGAAATGCGAGTCGACAGAAACTTTCACGTTTCCTCGTCCCACAGGAAACTTACTCATTCACATCTAATTAGACTCGGAGCATCTCGTCCTCAAACAAGATGAACCAACCATTCATCCAATATGGACACGGATAGTACAACTGCAGATGAATGCACAGTAACAGTAATCCGATCATTAACACACAACACGCATCACAACACGCACACAACAGTCCCAACCACACCGACAACACAAAACCCAGAAGAAATCAGATCCAACTTGACAGAGCACCAGTAAAATCCTCCAGTCGTCTAGTTACAATAAAAACACGTCTGAGGAAAACGCCCAGTGACACCACTGAAACCAGTGAACGATTCCAGACTGGTGGAGATTTAAATGTGAAGTCTTTACTCGATTGTTTCCATTTCCTGCTAACCTCTACGTGTATGTGCCATATTAAGGTTTTATACAACACAGTCAGATTTTCAGATAGGAGGCCAATAACAAACTGGTTCGTCTCTGAACCCCGTTACTTCCGGCCGTTACTGGCGCACTCACCTGCAGCCGGTCTGGGGAAGCGGCCATGGAGGCAGGAGGGGGCCTGGGCCTGGGCCTGGGCGTTAGGGCCAAAATATTACCACCAGTCTGTCCCCATATTGATCGATAACGATACTTTTCGATATACTGCACATGTTTCATTCATCTAATATGGAGGGAAACGTATTCAACAGCTTTGTTACACCTGAAGCACATACCTGGTGTTTGTGTAACAATGAATGTAAACAACTTGTTTACCAGACAAACAGCTCTACAAAGTAGTACCAGTTCATTTGAAATAAAGGATGTGTTGAGTTGGAGCTGCTGAAAGCTGAATAAATCACAGGATTTGTCACCATTCTACTCCGTCGTTTGCTTTTATGCCTCAACACTTCACACCAGTCTGACATGTTGCTACACACTGGTACCGTACTCACTTTCATGTACTAAAATAAAATGTATAAAGTAAAAATGCACTCGCTTTACAAAATTATAAGAATTGGAAATATGTGACTTTTAAAGTCACAAAAATTCTGCTTCGGTATTGGTAGAGGTGCAGAAGAACACAAGCAAACACAAGAATCAAACCATACCTCGTTCACAGTGGAGCTTAACTGTCAACACTATAACTGTATAGAGAGAAATGTTACCTTTAGCAATGTTAAGACTGCTGCTGGCGCTTGGCTGCAGAGGGGGAGTAGTTTGGTACTAGAGAATTATGCTTTCTGTGTACTCAGTTGGGTGGTACCTCTGCAAATGGTGGAAAGGATTTGTTGTGTTCCCGGTCCTCGTTGGTGCAGGTCGCCTGCGTATCTTACAGTAAATATCTTTCTGTAGCTTATCTTGCTTTAGAAATCCAAACCACTCCCAAAGGACCAGTATTGTTTGACCTCTCCTCTTCTGCCGCCACATGATTCTCCTCGTGGTTGTTCATTTCCATGTTTTTTTCCCCTTGGTTTGGTCATGTCGCCTATTGCTGTAGCCTGACTGGGTCAATGTGCATCACGTGCACAACCAACCTAACAATGCAGAACAAATACTTTTATCAGTAATTACTCATGTTTCTCATCATTACGGAGAGAAATGTCACAGTAATTACTGAGGTTGTTTGTATTCGTGTTAGGTCTGAGGCTCTCACATGCTCATGACATGTATCTGACAGAGGCTGAAAGTCATTTGCCAGATGTGCACTGAACCAATCGGAGCAGCAGCATGCACTCCACTCATCAAACTGTGCTGCTTGGTCACCTTGCAAACAGAGGTTTTTGCATGTTTACATGTCCTTAGGAGGGGCCAGGGCCTTAGGTTGGGAAGCACCTGATAGTGAGTGAAGTAACTGAAAGTAGTTTCACCTTGATGCATCACCGTCTCAACAGAAATGGTAAAATACAGTATATAATCTAATAATATGGTTACTTTTGATACTCCCTGACACCTTTACTTTTTATTTGTACTTCTAGTAGGATTTTGAATTTAGGAGTAAGTGAATATTTTTACAATATAGTATTGGTTCTTTTACTTCAGTCAAATCTCTGGCCATAAAGCCTCAAACATCTGAACTGAAATCAGTGGATTCTGTTGCAGTAACATCCGAATGGAAACACAATGCATTCAGAGAGTGCAGACCTCTGCCAAGGGCGCCTAACTGTCCCCATAATGCCATAAAACATTCCACAATAGTGTGACCGTCGTAAAACAACTGATTGACCATGAAGACCTACTGTTGGCATCTGGAATGATGCCGATATCATTATTTGAAAGTTCTTTAGTTCAATTGTTTTATTTGTAGGCTACAGCACCAATTCACAACAAGGGCATAGTGAGGTCTAGACATCAGTCTTATATGGAAACGCCAGCCCTCCCTCCTCTAAACAGAGACCCACAGTGCAAACCAAAGGAGGACCGTTGGCATCAACCTGTAAGGTTATGGCGGGTGACGGTCAAGGGAAGCACAGGCTGTACGGCTCATTAGGCTCCAACAGTGGAAACGCAACTATAATGTGCAGTTGGAAGAGCAACATCCTGCTGTGCAATGAACCACATGTAGCCACATGCTAACAGAGCTAGTTTGGTCAGATAATGAGCACTCACATCACATCAAAACGAGTTCATAATTTTTGCTTGAAATCACATCACACCTTAAGTGGCGTAATCCCAGTCCTATAGATGAAACTGAGAACAGCTTTGAGCCTGGCTCCAAACCTCTGCCACCAGGCTCTTGCCCGGCTGTCGCTGCATAGAGTCGATGTCTCCCCAGCTGTGGGCCGTGGCCTCGCTGGGCTCCTCCAGTTCCCGTCTCACACAGCGGGGTGGGCTGAGCGACAGCACTCCGTCTCCATCGACAATGAATGGCCAGCTGTCGCTGACCCAGGGCTTTGTCTCCATATGTGCTTGGAGCGCTCATCAGCGCACCTTGGCCACAAGGGGGCTCACATACAGTCAGCAGCCTTCCCAGCACTCACAGTGGGGAAGAATCATTTAAATTATTACCATGTCCAAATTATGAGATGATCAGCACCAAAATCTAATTAGGTGTCCTGTGGGCCGTACCCCACCTCTCCAACACATTTCATCCATATCTGTCCATTTTTGAATTATGTTAAACCAACTAATGGCAGCAAAACCATACCTGGTGAAATTTGTTTTAAAACCCTGCAGTGATTTCACATGGCACAGTTTCACTGTGAGTTTCCTGACTGATTCACACCATAGTCAGAGATCGGGCTAGACTGCTGTTACATCACCTTTAACATCATTACTACAAGAAATGTCACATTCATGTGTAGGGAGCCTCAGGTTACATCACTTGATTTTCAGTGAGAATCTCATGTCAGAGAAGCAGATGGAAAAACCAGAATAACTGTGCTCAATATCCTCTTTAACACCAGAGGTGAACAGCACTCTTTTTTCCCCAACAGAGCGTCGAGTAGACGCACATGAATTCAACACCAGTTAAAGCAACAGTCAACAAGACGGCAGCTCGTCTGAACTGCGGACAGATGATCACTGTTTACATCAGGTACTGCACATTTCTGTTCCTGTGACTGTCACAGAAGCTGTTACACTTGGTTTACACTATGTGAACATGTTTGCGTCCCATCAGAACCAGACTGCAGTCCTGTTTCTAATCTTGTGTCGACAGCCTGTGAGAGAGGAGACTACGTTACCCAGAAACCCACTAAACAACTGTGTACAAACAAAGTGTTTTATTTGTCTCAGAAAAGTCAAGGTTACAACCGGAACACACAGCAGAGACAGAAAAGGCTAGGGGAGAGGGGAATTGTAGGTAATAACTGATTGGATAAGAGCGTGCAGACACATATACAAGAAGTCAGCAGAGAGCATCATGGGAAGCTGTCGTCCTCATCTTCAGCCATTTCTTTGGCGAACTCCAGATCCTGCTGCTCCCGCTCGCGACGCTCCTGAACACACACACATACACACATCAGCTCCAGTCTCTGCGACAGATCTAAACCTCGGCCTCAAAGTGCGTCTCCACCTCCTCCAATGTTTTCCTGCTGCAGTAAAGAGCTGTTTACACATCTGTTTAAACCACCTGTTGCTATAAACCTGGCAGCTGTTACACAAACTCAATGATAAATGTGTAAAAACCAAAACAATGAGCCCCACACTGGATTTACAGTCTGGATTTTAACAAGTTGTACCTGTTCCACCTCATGATGCGCCCTAACAGCTGAATTAGCTTAGCTGTCGATCTCCTCATCACACGACTCAGTAAACACATCCTCTACCAACTCACTAGACTGTCAACCTCTTCATTTCACACTGTTCCGCTGCGTTGCTGCCATAGAGCCAGGACTTGTTAGTCAGCTAACAATAGCTTCAGACTGGAGGCCGCATTTTGTACAGCATGTCCCAACCAGGTATCTGTAGTTCACATCATAGCTTCAGGATACAGGGCAGGAGGGGCAAAGAGTGGGAAGGAGTGGTTGATGGAGTCAGTTTGTCTGAGCTGTCCAGGGAGAGGGGGGTGTCTCCACCTCTAGGTGCAGCGACTGTATGTTCTCCCCTCTCCCCCAGCTGTCCTATCCTTCCTGTTCCCACCGACCTGCCAGCATTTGTTAGTGTGTGTGTGTGTGTGTGTGAGAGAGAGAGAGACCAGGTGTGTTACCTCTGCTGACTCCAGGTCTTTGTTGTAAGCTTTAGGAGGAAACCTCATGGCCTGCAGGAGGAGACAAACACACACGTGAGAAACACCCTGACACACTGCGACAGGTGAGTAACAGGCACTGGACAAAACAAACATATCAACACAAATCGATTATTAGAATGAATCAGGTGATAGCTCAGTGAGTGTGTCCAGGTGTGTGTTACCTTGACAGACATGTTGTGGATGTCCAAGCAGAAGGAGATCCTCTGATGGAAAGCCAGCTGAGGCTCTCGCGTCCCATAGATGTCCATGGTCTCTTTTGATTGGACAAAGCCTTTCTCGTGGTTTATGCTCGCCTCAATCACGCCGTCACCGATCGCCTGAGCGCGCGCACACACACACACACACACACTCCCCCATGTATCTCCTCTATGCTGGTGTCTGGTCAACTTTAATCTTATAAGAGAGGATCCCTGATATAGAGAGCTTTTAAGTGAATGTATTGAGGTTGGTATAGAGTGTGTATGATGGAGGAGAGGCAGGGGGTAGAGTGATGTGATGGGCAGAAGGCAGGTAGTTCCTGTAATGCCTTCTGCCCCTCCACCCCCACCATCCCTCCAACATCAGCCTCTACTGAGCTT